CCACCACCACCACCACCACCCTGCTCCTGCTCCTAGTCCCTTTCCTACTACTCCTCCCACTTCTACTGCTTCTATCATGTTCACAACTGTTCTTCCTGCTACCAGTGCTTCCACTTTAGAGTTCTTGCTGCTGGTGTTGCTTATGCCACCACCACCTTGCCATGCCATTGGATTTGCTGCTGCTACTGCTGCCGCTACTACGCATCATAAGCTGTAGAATTTGTGCTACGTTCTAGTAATAATTAGTCATTTGTATTCTTACAAAAAACAGCCCTACAACTGAATCCGCTTCGCGAATCCCAGCCCTGCTAGCATTCTGGTGATGGCAGAGGCAGAAGGGTAGAAAAACGTATTTCTTGCACTGCTTTGGGGCTACGTAGAGGTGTGGCCCGAAAACCTCGAGATTAGGGGTTTATTGTGTTGGAGGCTTGGGCTCTTAACTGAACAAATGGCATGGAATCCACTGCAGGTTGTGGGGTCAAGGAAGATGGTTGGTTACAGAATGCCCTCGACTTGTGCGTAAGTTACCCCCCCTACCCCAACCGTGCCAGCTACTACTACTGCTACTACTACTCCTACTACTCACTACTACTCACTACTACTCACTACTACTGCTACTACTACTACTACTACTACTACCACTACCACCACTACTACTACTACTACTACTACTAGAAGAACTACTACTGCTACTACTACTACTACTCCTACTACTACTACTACTACGACGCACGCGTCGGATATTTGATGGTGTTTCTTTTTGAGTTCATCCAACTGTTTCAGAACATTCGGAAGTGCAGAAAATGCTGCTCCTGGCAGTGAAATTGGGACTTCGGATGGGGTCGTTCAGCAGTTGCCAGGTGTAAAATTTGTAGTTTTAAGCCGCTGCATTTTATGGTCATGTCAATTGATCTAAAGGCTTTTGGGCCATATTTTTCAACATCGTCGTACAAAAATTGAGGTGGAACAGGCTTGCAGAAGCTGCGCTGTACGGCTTTGAGCTTTCGTGCCAGCAAGCAAATGCCAAGCCGCTACATTGTTGCTTCTCTTCTTATGCCCGGAGATTAGCTTGTTGCTTCTATTCATATGCTTGTTACTGCGTAAGTGCTTCCTTGGTTATTCCTCTCCGTATGCAAAATAATGGATGCAGCGGTCACATGGATGTTAACATCTTGCTTATCCGTATGCAAAATAATGGATGCAGTCGTCACATGGATATGAACATCTTGCTTATCCATACGCAAAATAATGGATGCAGTGGTCACATGAATGTTAACATCTCGCTTATCCGTGTGCAAACACAAGAAACACTCGAAACCTGAAAATGCTGGAATTCACACAGCAAACAAACAAAATCGTGAAAATGTGCGAATCAGCGAAAGCGCGAAAAATGCATAACAATCAGACGGCGTTTGGGGTCGACAAATGCTGAGAAACCACACCGTCGGATATCCGACGCGTGGTTACTACTAGTATCAGTACTGGTGCTAGTGCTAGTGCTGGTACTAGTACTTCTTCTGCTACTCTTACTATTAGCCTGTGCTGCTGGCAACTTCTACTGCGGTTGAACCATTCTCAGCCCGCACTTTCGAGGCATTGTCTGAATCCCTACCAGCAATGCGGTGGCATCAGAACTGATGGCCACTCGGATTATAGTTTTTTTGCTTTCTTGACGCGGAGCCTTGACAATAGACGAGCATCTACCCATGTTTTGACGAAGCAGCTTGTATGCTTCGCGCGCTTTCAGCTATCTGCATGTTTCCGGATTCGTGAGGTGTCCCTTATGCTGGTGAAACTTGTTGCCACGGCGGGTACTACTGCCAAGAGGCTTCTGACGACTGCGTTGCTGTGTGCTTGCCAGAGTATTTCTTCACTTGCGGGAGTGCTTGAGTGTACGCAAGTAGGTCAACCCGACTTGGTTGCAATGCAATCCTACCAAAGCTGGTGGTCCTCACTTCAAGCACCGCACCCAGATTGACGCTAGGGACCATGCCAGACCATATTGCTGTGATGACTGGCGTTATTCATGGTAACAACAGTCTGCGCAGTAGTTGCAGAGCTAACGCGATATGTTCAATACCCTGGGAAGCGAAGCAAGAAGCTTGTGGAGCCGTGAGCCAGTCCACAAAGTCACCCTTGCGTGCGACATGCTGTCCCAAGGTACGAGCCGACCGAAGCCTTGAAGCAGCTTGTATACAAGTGGTTAATGACTTGTGCAAAGGTACCTCCCTCCCTCCCCCCCTCTCTCTCTCTCTCTCTCTCTCTCTCTCGCTCTGTTCGCTCTCTATTCCTAGGAGCATATATGTCACATAAAAAGGGGTCCTTGAACAGCGGCAACAGATATGATTTTGGCTTACAAGATTTCAGTGCCACTGCTGGTCCGAGTTCGACCACTACCGCAACGCTATTCATCCTCATCACTTATCCCTCAACTCTTCAGCCCTAAGCCATTGCGCCTAAATCCCTAATCCTCAAACCGCAAGCCCTTAACCCTTGAACCTTTAGCCCTTCAAATTCTATAAAGGTCCCTAAGCCCTAAAGCCTGCAATCCAAGGGAGCCGAGCAAGGCGCCAGTATTCACATACTACGTTTACAGAGCCGAGTCCTACGACTCTGCCACTTTGCAGCAAAAGGAGCTCCAGGCGCCACAGGAAATGTGGGAGAGAAAGAACCATGAAGAAGGGACCGGAAGGGTGGCTGCTGTCTAATTGACGCTCACAGCGTTTGCACGCCCCGAGTCAGGAAGCGCAATTTGAACGGGCTACATGTTACGAGAAAGGATTGCAATCCTCTGCCTGCCATCATGATCCCAGGACTACATCGACAACGTGAATGTGCCAAGCTCAGTCCTATGACGCCGCCGACGCTGATCCCCAAACCTGCCCACCCTGATGCAAGCGCAGGTTGGAAATTTGGCCGGCACGATGTGGTACTTGCACAACGAGGCCGTATCTATACGCCGCGCACGGCAGGTTTCCTTCACTTTGTCTGCTGCATCATACAAACTGACAGGTGGTGTGGATGACGCCCCGGAAGTTCAACATCACCAGGCCCGACATGGCCGGAAGCCTCACAGTTTTTCTGCAATCCTAATACGCCGAAGCAGCAACAATCAATAGTCGTTATGGTAGTACTTACCGTCTTCAGGCTTAGCTCCAGGCATGGCTTCTTTAGATCTTGCTGCAGGTTGCAGCGCTTCAAAGTTTCAAGCCGGGCCACGACGCCCATCTACAACTTGGGAATGAACTTCGGAGTGCCATGCCAGCAAAGATGGCCTTCATGCCTCTACACTACATCTGTGATGGTCTCCACCCTTCCATGCATCTGGGTGAGGTTGGGGCTGACATTCTGACCTAGGGGGGCGGTACGTCCCCGACCATTCTGAATAGTCTACTGCCCATGCGGCACCATTCTTTTTTTGGTGCAGTGGTACCAACAGTTGGCTCAACGCAGAACGAAAAGAACAACATCTGAGGTTCGGTACGCATATGACGCGGCCCAATGCACGGGGCCGTGGAACTGTGACATCAACTATGGGAAGCCGGGCACATGAATTGTGAAACTCTGACTTACGACTTTGCAGATTTGATTTATCAGGTATGGCTACTTCGTCGGGTGCAACAACCTGGGAGAGTTCCCCTTCCCAACGTACCAGATATACTACGAGGGTGCCAAGTGAGAGCCTTACGTGCCAGCGCAAACCAATTCGAGGTCTGCATCCGCAGTAGCTCTTGTCAATTCGTTTTCTTATCGCTTCGCATGCTGCCGAGCTCATCGCATTCAATGTGCTGAGCGCGGCCATGCCGTACAGGGGTGTTAGGGGAACGTAACATTCCCACAAGTACTCCTGGAAGGCTTCCCAGCCACCTTAATCCCAATTGAAAAAACCCAAGTCCGAAGCACTTCAAACTTCAACCCCTAAACCCTCAGCCTCATTCCTGAGGTGGTACACTCTGCCTGGGGCATGCCCATCGAACACCTACAAGGCATGGGCAATGATTGGCTTTTTACATGGACAAGTTTTAAAGGGTTTCTCACAGCAGGGGTACCTGCTAGGGACTCCAGGCGTATATAGGGGCCATAGGGGTTACACGGAACCCTATCCACTTACTACGCCCGTGCGTCCCAGCCCCTTAGGAGAAGGACGCAAGCTGCATCAAAGACCAACCAGGCGGCCGCTGTGTGCGCGGCCCCAGATCTCTGTGAGTCCTCTCCATAGGGGCTCAATTACTTGGCAGTCCCCTACTGGGTTTCCTATTGTAAAGATTACAATCTTCAGACATATCTCGGGGAGCCTTCCTTTTTTGGGGGGAAGCTGCCACAGGGGCGGTTGTCGAAAGTGGTTTTCCATTCATAGTGCTGCAAAACACAAGGTGCCATATTGGGGGCAGTGTTGTGTAGAGCTTTCAAGGGTCATGATCAAACTCAACTAATCACGTGAGCACACACACTTATGCACAACCTATATGTACATATGTTACATATGTTTGTACATGTTTGTATACACATACATAGTCGCACATACGCGTACATGTATGTGCCCACTTTTGCCTTCACACATTTGTAGCTATTCTTCGTTCGACATGTCTTGAAAGCGATGAAGTCTGCACCTCTGAGGAAGGCACGCCCACAGGTGCGGGCGACTGCACCTTTAGCATTGAGCATGCGGGAGAGTCTTTGCAGACATCAGTTGCTGAGATATTCCGAAGTTTCAGGCTACTGGTGTGTCTAAACTTGGTCGGCAACTGGCAGCAAAGGAGATACCCCTTGACGAAATCGAAGGCATTTCGGACTATGCCGCATTCATAAGAGATGGGTGCCCCTGGATGGGGGGCTGATGGTATGGGCGAATGGGTGAGCCGTTGGCGGTGGTACATTGGAAGCACCATATGGGCCAGGTACCAGGAGTTCAACAAGACCGAAGACAAGGGAATCGGACTGGACTTTTGGCCCCTCGGTGCATCTTGAAAAGTAGAATCCTTGTCCAAAAGCGAATGCATGACTTTGACAAGCCCGCAGACCCCCATGAAATGAAAAACTCCGGTTTGATCTCCATATGCAGGATCACTATTTAGAGCAGCCATGCATGGTCTGTGAATACTCTAACTGCACGGCACCGGTACATTGCAATGTCATACTTGGAGTCCTGCAAGGGACGGCTTGAATGACACCGACGCCAACAACATCAGGATGGCCAAGGCGAGTTAAGCATACCCTAAATCAGCGACTCTTTTGGAACATGGTTTGGGGGAATGCAGAGGGACAATCGACCGTAGCTATGACGGGATTTGATTTCCGTAATCCAGTATACCACGGGTCGCTTGAATTGAGTTCGATCCAGTCCCTGGCTTTTGTATCTGAAGCACAGCTTTTGCGCGCCAGGGGTTTCCCCGACTGCCTGGAAGAAACACATTCGGGCACCACCCACTTTGACATGATGAGCACAGTTGCTGACCTGTCAACAGAATCCTCGAATTTGTGCCAAAGGTTACAAGTGCCAGAGATCAATGTATTCAGTATAAACCCTAAACCGTGAACCCTACATGTAGGATCATGTGCATTTTGAGTATCACTAGGCTTCCCTAAGCAGAACATAGAGCAACAGGCCGGACATGATCCATATTCCGCGTTGTGAGGAAGACTGTCGCAGGACATTGCGTGTGATCCAATCCCAAAACCTTAAACCCAAATCCCAAAACCCTAAACTCAGGTATGAAGCCAGATCCCATGCCCCAGAACACAGACTTGACACGAAAGCTCCAAGATAGCCCGGTACACCCTTATTTCTCAAATCGCATGAGGAGCCGCTGGCATGAATTCATGCATGTTTCTTAGCTTTTGTATATATACTTACAGTAGTAGTTTCCATTTTATTTTCCATTCTCCCAAGATTGCCCCCTTATTCCCCCAATATAACCCCAATACAACCCCAATACAATCCCAAAATTACCCCAATACTACCCAATATAACCCTAGTATAATCCCGATATTACCCCAACATGTCTCATTGGGCTCCTCAGGCTGCTTGTAGCATGGGGAAGTCCGACACCCGTGCTTGTACAGGTGGACGAGATGTTCAAAAAGAAATATCCAGACCTGCCAGGCAGCCTGCTTTGCAACCGAATGCCGCATGGTTGTTGAAGGTTCCATACTCGTAGTTGGATGTAGTGGATGCAGTCCCTCATAATCCTATGAATGCAGACTTTAGGGTACAGTATGGTGCAGGTTCACAGAATTCATGGGACGATCCTTTGACAACAGCTTGAGATACGAAGGCGACGGAGATCTGCCGTCACCAGCGTGCGACTTCAGGATGAACGAGTGTCTTTGCTAAGCATGGGAGGTAAGGTGCCCTTGGGGGGGATGATACTAGTATTATGAAAGTATTTGAAGTATTACGAATATATTGTTAGTATCATGTTCCAATATTAATCGTATTGTTCTTGCTATCTTTGTAGCCTTTGTGTCAACACTGCAGGTAGCTTATCATGACTGGTGTGGTATGAGGTTTTACACCGGCACCACCACGACAACAACTACGACCACGACACCGCCGCCTCCATGCGCAGACCTTCGCCCAGAAATCTAAACCTGTCATTAGTGCAGCATGGACGTTTTAAGCTGGGCTGCCAAGGGCCTAGGAGCCTTACATGACACATTAATCGGAATTGTAGTTCACAGCTTTTTTGCAAGTAAAGCATTATGTTCTATCATGCTCAAACTGACTCACATGTTAGCAGCTGGTAGGCTACATATGTGCTCATGTACATACATATCCTTGCGTGTTCTCATGTGTGCTCACTCATGTGTACACATACACGCGCAGTCACATACATATACATAAATATCTGCACATGTTTTGTACCTGTGTATGTATACGTATAGATGTGTAGACTTCTGCATGTAGATCTGTATAACTGTATAACCGTCTGTCGGTATTTTTGTATATCTGTATGTGTATATACGTGTATTTGTTCATGTGTGCACATAAACGCAAACACACATGTTTTCATCTGTGTATGCTGCAAAATGCCCGCACCCAGGATGCAGCACCTGGCGACAAGTGCTTCCGGGCAGTGCACTGGGCAATGCGGGACGGCAAACTCCTCTGATGTTCTGGGATGGGCAAAAATGGGGTGCGGTTGCAGCGAATAGGCTGGACACACAAGCAATTCATCGGTGGCAGCCTAGGCATTCACGCGCATCCAGAGTGGTACCCTGGACTGTCTGTGCATTCAAGCTTCGCAGATTTTCAGGCTCGGGCCTTTCAATCCGAACTTCCTTTTTCCCATACTGGCTTCCAGCAGCGTGACTGTAGTTGCTCCAGCTTTGTGATCATCGCGTCTGAATGCCAGTGCTCGTGCTAGCACATACTTTTGAACCCCTCTCCTACTAGCGCTACTGCGACTTCTACTTCATCAGTATGTTGCCTTGAGAAACCCGGTCAGGCTCAGCTGCACAAAGCTGCGGCCTCATCTTTTCCAGCCTTGCCAGGTTGGATTTGCAAATCGATGTTACTGATCATGATAGCAGTACTAGTGTCATGGCAGAACCAAGAGTGGGGAGTCCTATGCTCATAACCTTCGCCAGCATCGCTGTCACAGTTGCAACGATAACATTAGTAGTGTAGCGTGTCAGTCAGCTAACAGCAGCTGCCTAGACAAATTATGAAAGCAGCTCAGGCCACACCGGATGTCTGCCCCCCTCCATGTGGCAGTCCGCAGCCAGTTGCCACGGAAACTCCAGCACCTGAAGCTCCTGCTGCAGTACCTGTTACTACCGCAGCTCCGGCAGCCCCGGTCCAACCGGCTGCCCCAGTTGCCCCTGCAGGCTGCGAAGCAGCTCGACTTGCAGTTGGCCTGGTTTCTTTCCGTTCACTGGGGGCCTCAAGCGCACACTCAAAATCTAGCTGTAAAGAAGGGATACATTCCGGCCAGTTAGAGTGTTTCAACAAAGGATGCCCATCCGGGAACGTCTTGCTGGGCGGCGGTGAACTGGGCTAAGCGGCATGGCACCTTGGATTGGCTGAATCTGGCTTGAGACATGTGCTGGCTAATAGAAGCAGATCTGCACAAGTTCCTCCAAGGTATTCATGAACATCCGCACTGGTATCCTGGTCTTTCCTCCAAGTCGCCCTTCGCTGACTTCCAGGCTACTTTTTTTGCTGTAATTTTCAAGACTTGGCAGTGCCCAACATGGGTAAAGTCCGTGCGCACTCACATGTGTATACACATGTATGTATCCATGATATATGCATGTGTGTGTGAATATGCAGATGCTTGGCATACTTACATGATGCATTTTGTTTGTGGCTATTCAACTGTTTCGCAATAGCTGCTAGTAGTAATTCTGGGCACGTGGCAGTGTGAATGTTTGTGGAGCTTTTTCTCTTCCAGGCCCAGGTGCACAAAGTGCCGCCCTCAGCTAGAGCATTGGAAGGGGGGTGAGGAGGGAGGTTGTAAGGGGACATAATCAGGTTTTTTTGTTGGGGCTTTGGTGAGTGTAGGTCGTCTTGAAAGCCGCGGTGAGGGTATCGCCCCAAGCCAACCCAACAAAGCCAAGGCCACTCCTGGTAAGTGCCCGCCACCCTGCAGCCGCTGAGAAGCAGCTGACCAACAGCTAAAGCCGGCTCACAACCTGTCGGCCGGGCATGGTGTTTAAGAGCAGATCCGCCCAAAATGGGACGCTCTGCTCGTCCTGTCATTCCAGTCGCACTTCTTCCACGCTAGCGGTGTCTGCGCGGAGCATGCCACACAAGGAAAAGGGCTCCCCATGCGCCGGATTATGCTGCAAGAAGGCTGCTCATTTTGGCTTCGGGTTGCTTACGATCCGCTATGACTGCTTGGAGGCGCTGGGTACTCCGGCAAGATATTTGGAGGCCAATCAAGTTCAGAGCTTGCCGCAATGCAAGGTGTGTACATCTCATTTGTGTATATATTCATAGATGCACAGAGAGAGAGAGAGATACATATATATATATATATGTTTTTGCATGTAGTTCGCCTTTCGTAGACCTAGAAAGGGGAAAGCTCAGTCAAGCTGACGCTTCGCATCAACGCCTTAAATCGAGGCAGTTGTGCTCTGTGTGTTCCTTGCAGCCATTGGCTCAATTCTGAAAAATGTTGCAATGCTGATAGTTGGCATGACGTTTGGATCAGGGATTGCTAAGCTTAACAAGTGCAAGCAAAAATACAAGTCATTATGCGCAATGTGGACATTTGCGGTGCGCTGAATTAGTCACCATAAGTGCTGGCCGCATGCGCACTTGCAGGCCTGTTGTCATCTTAGTCTGATACCATCCATGCGAAGGATATATAAGATGTCTTGAAATTACAGCAACGTATGTGAGGTACTTGATCCTCCTTAATTCCGCGACGCCAAGTCGTGTTCAACCTGCAGCTTCGAACCTGCGCAGGAAAACTGCCCGATGCAGGTTGAACCAGTGCGAAGCTTTCGCTCTGGCCGCAGCTATCTGACTGAAACCTGCAGCCCACAAGTCGTCATCCTGTGCGTTGTTTCAGCATGCTTTAGTGTCATGGTGGGCTTTTGGGCAGAGGATGAGCCTGAATTGCGCCGGATTTTCGAAGTCTGCAAGGGGACTGGGCGGAAGCGAACTTGCCATTCAAACCCCTGGACTGCGCTTTTCGTGGGGAACGTGCTCATAGCTGCTACGGCCATGATGATGCAGGGGTATCGGAGTCACTTCGTTTTCCTAGGTGCTGTTATTTTATTCGGGACCCTTGGAGTCATATCGACGGAGCAGGCTCTAGCTGGCTTCTCGAGCCCTGGCAACATTGCCTTCCAGGCTGTTCTTGTCTTGGTCGGGGGAATTCAGGATTCTGGAGTGTTGGACCACATCTTCTCAAAGCTTCTTGGGACGGAGCAGAAACACCTTCGGGCCTTCCTGCGGGTGCAGCTGGTCACTGCGCTTCTGAGTGCCTTTGTGCAGCAGACTACTGTGGTGGTTGCAGCGGCACCGGCACTGCAGCGCTGGGCGCCGCAAGCTGGGTTCACCCCACGCGAGATTCTCTTGCCCATAGCGAGCATTGGCGGTATGAGCCAGAACTTCATGATTGTGACCTCCACCGTGGCCCTGACAATTTACCAGACAATGCCAGAAGCACAGCTCCAAATGCTGGATCCTGCCCTGGGCTGCATAGTGCTGACGCTGCTTACTTGCCTTTACTGCACGGTTGCCACAAAGCCCCTTCTGGGTTCTGCTGCTGTGGAACCACAAAGTAGGATGGAGCATCTGCGGTACCAGTGCAGCAACCGCTACTACCTGTCCTTTGAAATAGCCAAAGGATCTTTCCTGATAGGTTCCACCGTGGTTCAGGCAGGCCTGCTTTCTCAGCCCGGCGCCGTCCTAGTTGACACGGACTTTGCACTGGATAAGCGAATGGAAGCGGGGAATTTCCTGCATTTTGCAGCGACGGCTGCGGGAGTTGTGGCTCTGATGCTTTAAGAATATACACGACTTGTGCTGAGTCTTTAATTTCTGACCCGCGACATGATCGTTACTTTGAAGACTTGAGTGTTGCTCGAGTTCTCATTTGTTCTTATTCTTGAACCAATTCCTGACCGCAGGCAGGAGGCTCCTGCGCAACTCCTAGGCTGTGCAAGTGGCCGTTTCAATGGGGACATTAGGACCCAAGTGGCAGGTCATCTTCATGCCAATCCATTGGGTTCCCAGAAGGTCTGGCTAAGCACCACAAAAAGCATCACCACCATGGTCTTTGAACAGTCTGTGGACATTTCTTGGGACACGTATTCTGGGAGTCATACCATTTTTGCGGACGTGACCGAACTTTAAATTCCACACGCGCCCACCTGAGTTTCCCTACCCCAACTCTTAAGTCCTAACCTAAGCCAAACCACGAACCTAAATGCTGGATTGAACAAAACACAATCCTACACCCAAAGCTTCGACCTCCAAATCCCGACCTTACTGGTTCTTGGTAGGGAATATGGAATGTATTATACTTGGATAATATAGGGATCATATTCCCTTGTTCATCCTTATTCTTGACAAAGAGCAAGTAAGCAACTGAGGCCCAGATTCGAAACCGAAGCCCTGGACTGATGCTGAAAGGCGTTGACCCTTTAGCGGCTTCTGGGCTTTGCTGGAGGTTTCCAACAAACTCAGCGATCGTGCTTTTTGTTTTGTTTGTGTTTTTTGTTGTTGTTTTTTTGTGGACATCTTCTATATTATGGATATCGAACCCTACTCCAGTTGTATGCCGGCGTAGCCCCCCTGAACAGTGCAAGACCAAGGTCTCTCCGCGAGAGCTCCAAGGAGCCACACAAGGGCTCAGTTAAAACACCGTTGAAGAAATTTCAGTAAGGACGGCCCAATTTTGCAGATTCACTGTAACACCATAAGGAATAAAAAAGAACGATAAGGTTTTTTTGGCATGTGGAGTAAGGAGCACTCCCTGTAAGACAATGAGGAATCAAACAAAAACGATCAGCATGTAGATAGATACTAGAGTCCGTGATAGGGTTTCCACACAAGCCCACAAGTGCCTCAAGACATCTTGAGAATACATCAGAATCAAAATCTTTCCAAGAACACTCGAGCCAAAATGCTAACTTTGGTAACCCTAAACCCAAAATTAGGGCCCTGTAGCTATCACTAAGAGTATAAGTTAAACAACTGGGCCCTAATCTTGGGAGTTTGGGTTGCCAAAATCCTCTTCTTGACCTTGCACCCTAAACCCTTGCGCCAACCAAAAAACCTAAACCCTCTAGATGAGGTTTTGGGCGCGCAGCGCCATCGACGGCGGCTCTTTGAGGTTGGCGTGGCCCCTGGCTCGGCGCTTGTGGGCTGTGTCCTGGACGGCACAGTCTTTGTACTGGTGGTTAGTAGGGAATGGGGGGATATAGTATATTGGGGCTATGTGGGGATTCTATTCCCTTATTCCTTACGAACCGCCGGTAAGTTTAGGTTGATTCTTGTTCGACATCATTGGCGCGTGTGAATCAGTAAAAGATAGGAAAAGATTCCTAGTTGGGGTCGATCCAGTGATTGAGAGGTCTGGGGTCTTTCATGCTTCAAGTCGCGGGGTGGGAGGGGTTTTGTGGATCGTGGCCGCTGATTTGTCCACTGAGAAGAAGACCCCTTTTTTGCGGCATCTCGTGTTTAGGGCGAGAGCCTCAAGCTGATGACGAGTTACCATTCGGGTACCTTGCATCATGTTGGGTCCACAAGCATCGCTGATAGAGTTGTCCAGATTTGCATGCGTGGAAGCTAGGCCTCCAGGGGTAGACGCTGTATGTGCGTGCATCGAACTGACTAGTTTTTCTGGAACTTGTAAACCCATGCCCAGAACTGTGTGGCTTTGGACCAGAGGCAAGCTGCCGATCAGCCTGAACCAGGCCGGGACTGCTCCTCCTTTTCCGGACAAACACTCTCCTTTGCAGTAATATCTTACACCCCTTGTGGGCCCTTCTGGGTCTTGCTTTCTCCTGGATCCACAGGCGACCTGCATTGCCGCAAGACGCCCTCAAGCGCCCATGACAATGACGAGCCCTTACCTTGCAAGACGGCCTTTTCGTCCATCTGCAGGCAACCGCGTCAGGTTGCAACCAGCCTTCTCTTTACCAGGTAGGTGCAGTCGCGCCTTATTCCATGTTCGGGCGGCTAGCATTGCAATGGGCAGATCTCAAATATCTGTTGGGAGCTTGTGTGTTGTGGAGGAGGCGAGTTGCCCAGCGATGACATGAATATAGTGGAGCTGGGCGAGTTCAAAGATGCCTTGTGTGCCTCTTGGATCAATTCGGATGGACGAGCCCCTCTTATGACAAGTCTTTCGGATGTCGCTTGGAAGCCGCAGGCCGGAGACATATTGTTGGTGGAGGCGTTCCTGGAATTTGCTGATCTGCCTGAAGCATCCTGGCAAAAAGATCCTCATACTTGTTCAGGCAATGGTCCTTGTGCAAACCTGACGAGTCATAAGGTTGAAAGGAACTTCAGCTTCGTGGCCGTAGTACCAGAATCCGCACCACCACGGCATGGGCGCCGGGTGGACCAGGGCAGAGGTTGGTTGGCGCTGCTGCTGCTGGCTTTTGTAATCGTCTGCTCTTTGCTGTTACTTGCAGATGTTCAGCTTCAGAGGATTTTTTGGTTGGGGTTTTTGGTTCTCTGCCTGAGGCGAAACCAGAAAGAGATAAGGAGCAGATCCCAGCAACAGCAAAAGCTGCGCTGGTGCCTGTTGTAATTGCATTTACGTCTCTTCGTCTGAGGGCTGCACAAGCTGTCCGTAACAGTGGCTTGTAATGGGAACCCAGCCCGGACTTGCAACCAGAACGAACCGGCGCGTTCCTGTAACATGAACATGCCCGCAGGGCTAACAGTCACCGGAGCCGTTGGGGAGATTAGGCGGTCTGGACCTCCATGCATGTCTCCGGACAGCTTCGAACGCTTCCGCCGAAAGCCATCAAGAGGGGACCGAATTCTGGTCCCCAGTCAGACGCACCCGGTCATAGCTATTATTACAGAATTGCTTATGGGGCTTTCTCGCTCCTGCCACTGACGGCCGTAATGGTACGGTAGCTTATTCAGAGTCGAAGGACACCTTGCCCCTCGCCGAATTCAAGCAGCATGCCTTTTTGACACACTCCTGACCTGGAAGTCTCGGCAGGCTAGTGCCTCATTCGCACGACCAAAGCAGCCATCATTCAGGGGGAACAATTTTCGGTCCCCCACTTTGGGAGGTTCCAGTGCTGTCTTTCGTCCTCCTTACCGTTACGCCTGCCGTAACTGTCGCAGACCGTTACTGTTAAGGCTTGGAAACGTGGAACAAATTATTCTCATTACTTCCCGCACCCCTCTTCGTCTAAACTTTGCTTATCAGAGCAGCTGTGTTGGTTGTCTGCGCCGGCAGCAGCAGGAATTTCTGCGATCTGGTTTTTCTGGGTCTCGCTGCCGTGGGTCTCTGCGTCATCCTCAACATAGTCCATAGGGAAGCTGTTCCTCGCCAGCACTTCGGGAGAAGGGTTTCGCTTTTTGTTCGAGTGTGTTCGACCATGATAAACACGTGTTAAGGATTTGGCTGGCAGTGGTGCAGTACATAATCTTTGATGGTGAATCCCCGCGCCCCAGCTACTCAGGTCTTACAACGCTTGAACCTGCCCATTTTCCTCACCATAGCCGGAGGCCTGGGTGTTGGCCAGGCGGGGGCCTCAAGAATTGATTCCAATGTATAGGGTTTTTTCAGGGATCCTGCCTTGATGGGTGTTTACATTGAAAGGCATTTCAGTAGAAGCTTCACCATCGCCCGCTAGGCAATCAAGGAGAGCGGCTTGGGCAATGCTTGGGCGAAGCTGGTTATTTCTGCTGGCCGTCACGCTGCCCTTGGTCATCCCTTGGGCATTTTGATGGCGTTATCTTTTATTACATCTCTTCTGGCAAACCTCATGTCGCATACTGCCACAGCAGCGCTGATGGCGCCCATTGCTATGAGAGTTTGTTCTTCGGAGAACATGCTGCCTGGCTGAAAGAAACCATAACTATGCTTTTGATGCTTTTGTCAGTCTCCGCAGGCCAAGACATTGAAGTGTCTCACTAGGATGAATCTTGCATACCTTCAATAGGGAGTAGCATTCAGTGTTTTTGGGAAATCTCCAAGCAGTTGACGCAGGAACTTGAAGACGACGGCTCTGGTCCTGGTGTTCTCAGCAAATGCTGCCTTTGCCATGCCCTTTGCCACTTCTGCCAACATCATGCTCAAAGGCCTGGCCCCAAGAGAGAGAATGCCGCAAGAGCTTGCGCAGAGTACTGTACGTGAGGATGTAGGCGAATAAGATCTTTCTCTTGAGTTTCCAGGTTCCAGATATGTGAGGAGTTACAGTCTTATCAACTTCAACCTCATCTCAACCCAAGTCCTCCAGTCAGGAGCTAAAAGCAGATGTGATGGCATCTTACTTCTGAAGACTCTGCCCACTTTGTAGCGCCCCTTCGTGGTGCGAGTTCGGCAGCGCATTCAAGTCCCATTAGAGAGGTCACAGCTTAAGTTGAACTGTCCTCAGGCTCTGTCCCTGCAACCCTGAGCCTTACTCATGCTCAAAACCTGAAGTCCCTACGCCAGCAACTATCCTACAATTCCTCCAGCGTAGCCTGGTTTGTAGCTGGCTGGCTGTAACCCTGCGATGCTAGCCATTGCTTTGGTAATCACACATGAGGCTTGTAATTCATAACTAGGTCATCAGCCAGCTGTATCAACTTCCATGCTCCAAAAATGCTGCACCCGGCAGAGCAAAGCGCAAAAGTGCCAGGCCCCTGGCCCCCGGCCGCCGCACATCCTAAACCATGAGCTCATAATTTGCCAACCTGCCGGTACCCCCCCAAAAAGCCTCTAATAGCCCATCGCCTTGTAGCATCCATATGGCAGAGGCATGTACCCTTAAAACAAAACTTGCCTCGAAGCTTTAACTCCAAAAGCCCTAACACCCTTGAGCACATGGGACTAACCCCTCAAAGTCCAAAAGCCGTAAATCATGATTGAACCCTCAACCCAGCATTTGTCAAAGTAACCCCAAGCCTTGTAAGGGACCTTCGCGCTCCCTTCCTGATGGAGGGCATATATGGGCTATACTTAATCTAAAGTCCTAGTATCCCCCTCAATAACCCCTATAATGCTCCCATATATAATCTCATATATAACCCCCTTTAAGGAGTGTAGACTATAGCTCATATACTTGAGGAGGAGAAACAAGCAAGCCAGGCCTGGGCCCCTACGACTTTTCAGACTTCTTGCGATTTGGCCTCCCGCTGCAGTTTCTATGCCTGTCCCTTGGCTGGCTCCTACATTTCTGTTTGATTCTAGGACAAGGGAGGCGGGGTTTAAGGACAGGGGAAGAGGGGTGTAAGGGCTTGGGGCCAAGGTGAAGGGGGTTATCTAGGGTTTGCAGATTTAGGGGGGGTGGGCGTAGTCAAACTCACTCCTTCAGGAAAGCGAAGTGATAGAGACTGTTCTCAAACGGGGATGGTTTACGTCAGAGGGATTTGGAGGCTGTGTACTTGGAGTTCCAGCTACAGCTATTGTCTTCCAGGTAGAAAGGTTCAGGGTTCTGCAAGTTGTGGAGGCAGGATGGAGGCACACCAGAGAGTCTTTGTTCAAAAGGGTTTAGTTTAAGGTTTTGGTTTCGTGTTAATCTACTCAGCTGCAAGTCCTGGCAGAGATTGTTGGGGTCCTTCCAGTGCAAGGCGACGCGACGCGACTAATGTTATCAACATAAAGCAATATCAGTATCTGAGTGTTGAAGCAAGATCATGTAGTCTGGCCTGCTAAGACATGATACTTCATTGGCCTGTGCGATAGAAGTTCTTGGATGGGTTAACGGTTTGGAAAAACTTGATGAAGACTCTTATAGCCTCCTTTTGCAGCCAGAAGAAGGGAGTGGGTGCACTCTCAGTACTTAGCACCGGCAAGCAACGAAATGAGGACATCGTCATCATGATTCTTTTGTTAGTATAGAAACAGTAATCAGTATTACTATTCCTGGGCTGCCCACTGAACATCTAGATTTCCGGGTGGTATGCTGCGAGTAGTTAAGTCGACAGACTCAAGCTTCATGATCCATGATCACTCAGCGCATGTGCCTGGAGGTTCTGCAAGCGATTGGGGAGCACACAGGGCTGTGGGGTAAGTCTGGCTTTGGGAGATAGGTCCAGGACGAGTCTGGCTCCGAACAGAAGACACAGGTACTTTGGATTTTGAATCGGTTCCCAGTCGCATCGTGTCTTGACCAGACTTTTTTGCAGCCAGGACCCCCAATTTGAAATTAGATGATTGTCACTGCTGCGCAATGATAAGCACTGTTCTCCTTGTCCGTCCTGGGGAAGCCAGAAAGTTGGAGTACTATCATCTCACAACCCCAGGACCTCGAAAGAGGACAAAGTAGCTTGAAACGCCCTTTTTCATTCTCCCTGAAGCCCCATGCGTTGCGTGTCATTCCAGGTTGGCAATCCCTGTGCTGTGCGCCTTCCAGTTTGGGTTATATGGCCAGGCTGATCTGGATGAGTGACTGCAATCATTCACCTGAAGCATCCATCCGGAGAGCCGAGCAGTTCAGGTGGCTATGGAGATTTCCAACAGTCAGGCTTCCCTTTTTTTGCGGGAGCATACAAGAAGAGCTATAGACTACAGCATGCTGAGATATGCTGAGATACAATAAGGCTCAAAGGGTTCCCCTGTGTCTGGAAACTCCCGTGTATGTTCCATAGAAATGCCTGTAGCAGAGCATTGCTATCCCGAAGCTGATCACAACTTCTGGGATGGCAACATGCCCAGCGAAAGGCGAAAACAGCAACAGCAGCCCTTTTCGTGTTTGTATGCGTTGTTGTCAGGGCCAGGTTACGACCCCAAGGTATGACAATAGAAAAACAATGGTGAATGATGGTTCGCCAGCACCAGTTAGATGTCAAGCCGCCGCGGACATTTTCAACTTGCAGGGATCTGATCGGACACATTAGGAATCAAAGACGACGTCAGAGATGCTTTTTTCTGGCAGAATAAGTAGCTTCATCTCTGGCAGGCTGCTCCCAGTGACATCCCCAAGGCAGGAAGCTGGAGCGTGTCTTTGGCTGACGTGACGGTGGTTTAAGGGAAGGCAACCGTAGCAGTCACAAAAGTCCTTCAAGTCTCCTCGTGCTTCCGTCCATGTGGCTCTCCTCCTAGCTTCCTTCAGCCGAGCAGCATGCGGCATGATGTGACTGACCTTGGAGCATCTAGCCCACCCCACCAGCCAACCCGAAAACCGGTGACCTTAAGCCACAATTTCACATTCATCTTACTTGCAGCCATGTCTTTGAGCCCGACCTTCTATACCACCATCCCGGATCCCCAAGCCGAAGAAATGTTGATCGCTCGCCAACCTTGGGCCATTGGGTAATGTGCTCAACAGCCTAGCCATGGCCAAGCACAAGAAGCGGACTGCGCCAGCTCATCGCTCAACAGACTCGAACCTGGGTCATAGTTTGGGATCATGTTTGCCATCACTTGCTTTATGATTTTTATGAAATCAGAAGAGCTGAAAACTATTGCTGTTACGCCCCATCTGATGATTTCCTCAGCTACGATCCAGGAAAGATCTCCCTCCAGGTTGGATTCGAGCCAAGGGCTCAGGTTCGGGTATCAACGCTGGCAGAATAGGGTCCTGATATGTCCTGATCTTGGAGCAGAACATGCAGAACGATTTCCTATGGAGTATGTCATGTCGGAGATGTAGAAGGGTAGATTTGCAGAAGTGTCCTGGATCCTGAGGTAGAGTCACGTTCTAAGCCCGGGGCCTATTTCTACGCCCACCCCGCTACCAAGCGCACGCAATTGGAGCATCCTGGCAAGACAAGGCGGGTCCAAGCTACATTTTTCAACCGCTCCCAGACTTGTTGAGTCAAAGTATTGAACCCAGAGTATGGAACCCCGAGATGAAGCGAGGTTTTCAAGCCATCAAAATTAGTATTTTGTGTTGCTGGAGCCTCCATTTCAGAGTCCTTCAAAGGATCTGAGCAGTTAGATGTGTCTACTTGTTTCCTGCGGGAAGGTGGGGTGTGTAGTTCTGCGCAGGCAAACGTCCAAGAGAGCCGCAGGGCCTAGAAGGAAGAAGGACGATGAAGGCCGTTTTCCCGTGTAGTCGCTGTGGGGTCAAAGGTATTGGCCTTGGTTTTTGCAGCATGTTTGACTTGCTTTACTGTACTGTGTGTGCTACTGTTGTTGGCTTGGGCTCAAACGACTTTATTGGTAAAAGCGTGATAGCTTGCCAAGAGCCCTCCAGGCACCCCTGAAGCTTTGGACGTCGAGGAGTTCGAGGCTGGGGAGCACTCCATAGTATACCGAAATTGTGTGATTGCTCAGGGATTACATGCATACATACCCGTATATATGTATATATGTATATGTATATGTGTATATAAAAAATAGATATATTTACATTCATATCTATAGAGGTTGCACGGGGGTAACGGTACATCCATGGAGGCTTTGAGTGGAGCTCATGAGAAGCTTGAAGTTCAGGATCCCAACGAGAAGGCTCAGCGGCTCCGGCAAGCAGCCGAGGCTCAGGGCTCAGGGCGCTCAAGTGCTTACTTTTTTGATTTCTGTCTACGCATACATTAATTGAATTATATGTGTGTATTTATATATGTTTATAGATTCATACACATGTATTTATGTATGTGTATATATATATACTACCCCAAGATTGGAGAATAGAATAGGGAAGAGCATGGACAATTGAGTGGAAGAAGGTACATGATAGTTTTGTTCTTCCCCGCTCATATTACCCGGCCTTTGGTAAACTAGGAATCAGGGAGTGGATCCTTATAGTAGTCCCTATAAAGCCCTTTATAGTCGTTTCCATTTTCTTTGCCATTCCTTCATTCCCGCTCTAAACCCTAAACCCTGGACCCCATACCCTGTAGCAGTTTCCACTTTCTTTTCCATTATCCCCATATTACCCCAACCCTAAACCCCAAACCCTAAATAACTTCATTACAGTAGCTTCCCCAGCTGAATAACCCCAATATATATTCCCATTATACTATAGTAGTTTCCATTTTCTTTTCCATTCCTTCGTTCCCAGCTAACCACAGCCAGTTCAGCGGCCAGGAGGCGGAAGCTGAGGAAGCTGCCCGGCAGGAGCTTGTGCGGCACCAGCGTGCGGCGAAGCGAGCCCTGCTGAGAGAGGCGAGGGATCTGCTGAGCTCTGCTAGACAGACCCTAAATCGGGTTTATGCAAAAAGGGTTTAGGACCTCATGCTATAATGGGAATAGAAGAGGACCCTAGTATAGTAACAATTCTCCCTCATAGTCACAATTATAGGGTGGGGGGTCCACCTAACCTATACCCTAGACCCTAAGCCCCAAACCTTATGCTGTGGGAGATTTTGTAAGGCGCCAGAAGATAAGAAAGACGATGAGTCAGGCTCAGGCCAAGCCCAGGTTGCAGTTTTCATTGCTATGACATGGAAACGCAACAGTTGCGCACGTCAAGATCCAGCCGCCCGCAGATGAAGACAATGAGCTCGTCTCCAAAGAAGAGCTCGCCAAATGGACACCTGTTGTTCTTAACCGGGCACATGTGTTTGTTACAGTGCCTGGGCTCGGTGCTTGTGCTGTCGCGCTGGGCTGCTTCTCGGGTGCTGCAGGAAAGATGCGGAGGAGCAACGCGAGAGAGAAGAGGCAACCAGCTTACTACGGCCATAATGACTTAATAATGTCGTGGATGCTGAATGTATTTGAGCGTCGGCTTGCAACAACAGAAATGAAGCTTGTGCACGCGATTTCTGGTGGGTCGTATAGTTAGCTCATCAAGGCCGAAGCAGAAAGACGAAGAAAAGAAGAGGAGGACTTGGACTTGACGTGGTTAGCTGGACTTTCGGGACCTTACCGTGGGCTGCACAACCACTCTCTGTGCGCCAGTCTCTTCCGTCTCAATGCCTGCCACACCCTGACAGGTAAGCTGGTATGACATGCCAGTTTCATCATAGTATAGAATAATCATCATAGTCATAAACATGTAGTAACGACAAGGGGAAGAGTGGTAACGGCAAAGGCGCAGCTGTGAATGTGAATAGCTATGCCGGCAGTGGCGACGCCACATCGGAGCAGGGAATTTGGCATCACGCAGGAAGCAGAAAAACTCACCTGAGCCTTCCTGGGACGTTAGTTTTTATTGGCCTATGCAGCGGTCAGGAGCGTAGGAGAAGAGAAGCTGACGAGGCCGAACGAAGAAGGTTGGAGGAGGAGGTGCCTGCCAGGGTACTTAGGGTTTAGGGTTTGGGGTTTAGGGTTTAGGGTTTGGGGTTTAGGGTCTGGGGTTCGGGGTTTAGGGTTTCTGAACGACTGGGAATCCCTCAGGTCATTCCAAGAATACAAGGGTTATACTGGGGTTATATAAGGATAATTGAAAAGAGAATGGAAACTAGTATACTATAGTAGGTTTATATAGGGACTATGTGAGGCAATGCCCCTTTCATGGTTTGGATTGACAAATTTCAGGGTCTTTTGGGAGGATTGGTGAGCGTATATGTGGGCCGTCCTTCTGTTTTTCTTTGCACTAGGATACATAGGAATCAAACGGGGATGGCCTTGCAGCTATGGTCGTTTTTAGTTTTGTTGTACGTCTCGTCGCTTTGGTTTCTGCGAATGGCCACCTTCACGACTTCTTTGTGAACTTCAGTGTGAGTACTGCAAGATGTGCTGCCCACGTAATATCTTGTATTTCATTGGTTGCACTGGTTCTCACTCACACTTATAATGATCGCTTCCAGCCTTCTACTGAAGTGCTGTTACGCCAAAGGAGCTGGCGGCACTGAGAAAACATGCCATAGCCGGAAACATCATTGGTTTTGTTTTCACCAACATGTAAATGTAAAATCTACGTTGCTCCTTTCGCTCCACTAATCAGAACCTCCGTGCCTTGCCAATGAATAGTTTGCTGTCAAGGAACTTAGATTAAGTTGCTACATTGGGGACACCATACTAATTACTATATATACCCATTATGGTAACTTAATTCAAGATCATTAACAGCAACCCAGATGTTCCTTGCCGACGTTGGATAGTGCTCGGGCTTCTCAGGAAAGGCAACGAGAGGAAGAAGAAAGGCGAAAAGAAGAGGAACAGAAGGCCCAGGGGCAATTCTGATCCTGAAACGAAAGTTTCCAAACTAATAATGAGTAATTAGTGTCGTCCTTTTTTTAGGAACCCACCAGAATAGGAATCACTTAGTTGTGGACCCCTGCCCTCCCCCCAAAATAGTGCTCTGACTTGGATACTAACGTCAAACCTTAGGAAGGTAGATCTTCCTATCACATGCAGCGCTGTGGAGGCTTCCAATTCCAAACGCACAAAAGGCTGCACGCCTCAAGATTTCGGCGTCTCAAGTTAGAGCTTGGTATTCTAATGGTGCTCCCTTGCAGTCAGTTCTCGATGGATTTCCCACGTGCTTCGTAGTTAAAGGTCCACTGAGGTGACCCCCACGTCTAGTTGAATATCCCCTTATGAAGTCCTATTGTAATGCACATCCTTCATATTCCGGGGTGGTTCCCATAATACATTACAAAGGTCTTTATTCGGGTTCCTCCTAGAGCTCCAAGCCGCAACCGCCGGAACCTCCATCCAAGAATTGAAATCCCTAGACGCTGATCCCCCGAGCCCTAACCATATTGTACCTCACCCACATTTGCTTGCAAGGAGAAGATCGCCCTGTGGAAGCACCGCGTCGAGATGGCGAGAAAGGCTCCCGGAGGGGATATTTCGGGTTTTTTGTTCAGCGAAGTTTTGTTACCTGGAGAGAAGATCTAGCTGTGTAGAGGGATGTAAGGGCAAATGCCCGCGATTTTCGAGGTTCTTGAAACATACGCGTCCTTTCGTGTGGGCCGTAGGTTGGCCTTAGCCTCAATCCTCAAATCCAGAGCTGTCTGGGATGTGGTGTCCAAGATGTTGAAATGGCGATGTGAGAGCTTATCTCACCAGCACGGACTGCGTTGTGATGGCAGCTCGGAACATCTTGGCGAATGTCGTGATGATCATGCTGGAACAATCGTAAGCACATGCGCAAGCATTCAGTACCGGAGTAGGAAAACTATGCCTTCGAAGCTTCTGCTCATTAATTCCGGACCAAGCTCCATACTAATACTGCAGGAGCCTGCGTACAGCGCCTCCCCAAAACCTGCAACTCCTGTAACATGTTTCTATGATACCTTTTTATTTTAATTTTTCGCGTGGGTTTCCAGAAATTGGGGGTCAATTCTGGGGAGTCCAGGCTATATCAATATCATGGACTATAGAGTGGCATCTGTACTGGGGCCCCTCATTCATTGAAACTCCCATGTGTCCGCTGTAGTAGAACTCTTAGCTAGTGGCCATGGTTTCCAGGAGGCGGAGTTCGAACTAGCCGTCGCGAAGGAGCGCCAGAAGAAGGAGGGCCCAGCGCAAGCGTACGACGCAAGATGGTTGCGTAGGGATGTTTCTCAAAGATAGGCTTTTTTGTATCTTGCATTTGGCATACCTCTCTAGTGAGAATAAAAGGATGATAGATAGCTACCATCCTAGGATTGTGTGAGGTGCCCAGATTTTCCCTCAGACGACTTTGTATTTCGTTACAGCCTTTGTGGTGGGCGCATCTCGCATCTCACACAAGGCGGAGGCGGACAAAGAAGTTGCAAAGCAACTGGAGGCCTGGCTGAAGGGGAGATCACAGCGATTTTCAGCATGACCCCTAATTGGTTTCATAATCATTTCATGAGAATTACCATCCTAGTTGCCAGAATGGTGTAGCAACAAGAGAGCTGAGGATCATAATGACACAGCAGGAACAGGAAGAGCCGTCGTATTTTTTTCTGGTGATGGCCCTGTGAAGACTAGATACAAGAGCTTGAAGTGTAAAGAAGGACGGAAGACAAGCTTGCGCCCTTCTCTCAGGCCTTCATTGTGAAAAGGGCATCCGGATATAATTATCTATGGATCTCGTCATGCTATCTTGGCCATATTATTTCGACAGTATCTTAACCCTAAACCCTAGACCCTCTATTATTTCGACAGTATCTTAACCCAGAGCTCTTAAACCCTAAACCATCCTGACCTGCAGGCGGAAAAGCTGCGGCAAGCTTTGCTGGAGCGCAAGAAGCAGGAGGCGGAGGCCGACGAGACAGCAAGTCTAGGGAAGAAGGGAATATATCCCCTATATAATTCCCTACATACTATATGCCCCTATTCCCTAATACACCCCCAATGTATACACTAGTATAATGTAGTAGTTTCCATTTTCTTTTCCATTATCCTTATATAATCCCAATCTATTTCCTTATTCCCTACTAAGCCTCAGTAAGCAGACTGTCAGGAGGAGAAGAAGAAGGCAGAAGCTGACCTACGCCGCAAGGCCGACATGCGTGGAACACCATTGGATTATGCAGGAGTAATGGGAAAGAAAATGAAAACTACTATAGTATATCGGGGTAATATGGGGGTATAACATGGAAAAGAAAAGGGTAACTACTATTTTGGGTTTAGGGTTTAGGGATATTATCCCCCAATAAGGGAGAATCACATAGCAAAGAGCATGTAACATGAAATGGAAACTAGGGTAATATAGGGAGATATGGTCTAGGCGTTAGGGTATAGGGTTGAGCTATTTTCAAAACTAGGCTTTTTAAGCGGCTCCTAATTGCGGGCATAGGGGTCTCTTTTGTAGTTTAGTATGCTCCTTGATATAGTTCTGTGGGTAAGGTAATATTGACTGTAGCTCATATATGATTTTATGTTATATTGTTCATGTAGCATTAGAAGGTAAGCGATTGAGGTTATACAGTGATCAACGTAGGAAGTACATGCTGAGAACAGAGGACATGCATAGCAGGGATCACGCAGGATTTCCCGCAGTGTATAGTAGTTTTCATTTTCTTTTCCATTATCCCAATATAACCCCAATTGTATACCTTATAATCCCTATATAGCCCGTTATAGTAGTATCCATTGCATTTTCCATTCTCCCTATTTTGCCCCCAGGTCATTTCAGGAGGTTTGAAGGACAAGCAGAGCCACTCCCTGCATTAACATCACAGGAGCCACCTCCTTAATCCTACGCCCTAAACTCTGAACTAAACCCCAAACCCCAAAGCCCTAAACCCTAAACCCTAAACCCTAAACCCCAAACCCCAAAACCCCAAAACCCTAAACCCTAAACCAGAAGCCCCCTAAACCCTAAGAGTCTTTGAGACGATTTGGTGCCAGGCATGCCTTTGCCAGGCATTGCAATGGGGTTTGATCTATTTGGTGGTTTCTCAAGATTAGGGGGACCTTTTTATGGGTCCCCATAATGAGGACTGCAATATTTTTGGGTCTAGATTGGGGTCCCCTGTTTAGGGGAATTACCATTTGTCAGAGGCGGGGGGGTATACGGGCCATGCGGCAAGCCATGCCTCGGGGAATGCCGAGTGTCCCCCCTTTTTTCTGCAGAAATTAACGGCCCGAGTGTGGGGACGTCTCCAGTTTCCATGTAGGTTTCCACTTGTGTCCGCAAGAATCAGCTCAGTAACTGTACCAAGCTCAGGCTTCGTGGGAAGCCGTGGCTCTGTAGCAATGGGCTGCTATTCTTCTTAGTGGTTGCCAGCAGAAAATGGAGGAATGCATCCTTCTAGTGGCCCCTATATCCACCAGTTTCCATTTTCTCTCCCATTCCTTCATTCCGCGCTAAGAACCAGCAAGTCTTGGGCGCGCCACCTGTCAGGCAGAGGCCGATCGGCTAAAGAAGGAGATTGAAGCCAAGCATCAGAAGGTTCTGCAAATCCCGGTGGGCACCTTACTTCATAGCTTGGGCGTTCCATTGGGGTGCTCAAGGCTGCGTGCATTCAACGTAGGATGGAACTTTAATTTGTTGCGCATGTGGCCTTTGAGCTCCTGATAGGCCCTGAAATCACTGCCTATGTTGGGCTCTTCCTGACAAGCTGTCAGGAGCCCTCTGATGAGATTACACTGCCCTGCTTCGATGTCTTCAAGGGTGGGAATCGCATTGGTGGCTCGGCTCAGATTGTGTTGTCAAGTGCTTGCAGCTATTTGTGGGCTTTGCTATCTCCAGGCCGGTTTCTCCTGAAACCTTCTCAGAAGACTTGGCTGCTGGGCCGTGCGCCGGTAGGGATCGACTTCCGCCTTGGCCAGATGCTCAGAGAGAGTCTGCCATGCGGAGCAAGAGGCGATAAAATTTGGAACCCACTAAGGCCATGAGACCATTTCGCGGAAGCACGCTCAGGTGCCCGCAGGGCTTGAATTGCAGTCGCAGGCATTGACTTGACGTTGGCATGTCAACTTGACCTTTGACTTTGAATTGCAGCGGAGAGTTGACTTGATCAGCGTTCCAACTTTCTTGGAAATTCCATTTGGAATGGCATGCAGTGTTGGTGGCAGGTCAGTCGCCAGGGGTTTTTCACCTTCCTGCAAGACCTGGGTTCAGCCCACGGCACGTCTCTCAATGGACAGAAGTGCCTCGGCAGAGCTCATGGGGATTCGGGTAGCAGCTTCTGAAACTTGTCACAGCCCTTCTATGAAAGCAACGGCTTGTAGCTGACGGATTGGTTTTTGCTGCGACGCGCATAATTGAGGCTGACAAAGAACACGTGGGAAGCTCAGCAAAGAGCGGCCCTGCATCATGGTCGCAGCTGCACAGGATACGAGAAATGAGATCTGAATTTTGTGCCTCACCAAACTCGTGGCCCCAAAGACTCCCTAATCTGTTCGTAACAGGAGCCTATGTGAGTTTGGGTTTACTTGGACCAATTGCATGCTTTGCCTCGACTTTGGTTCAAGACTGTTGGCCGGGACGTGGGCAATCGGCGCCATTGGTTCTGGGCTGTGCCGCAGCTGCGATATCACTGTGTTTGGAAAGTGTTTGCCGGACAGTCCCTGATTTAAAGCCATAAGGTGCTGCACAATGCCTGCTGGCGTAAAGAACGCTTTCGCAGTTCTCGGCAGCACCAACCTTACCATCTCTTGCAGCAAGGGCTTGGGCATAGAAACTGAAACCTTAAAAAGCGGCTACCTGGACTGAGATTCCGATTCCGAGGAGGCAGCGGCCCGAGGGGCTTATGATCCCAAAACAGGTTTCCGCAAACTGCAAGATTCCTCTTGTGGTGCTCAAAATGAGAAGGTGGATGGAAAATGCGGGTAGGCTCCCAAATTCAAGCCTCTGCCAACCAGGAAGAGGCGAAAGAGGAGCCAGTGGTCGAAGCTGGATTGTTGTTAAGGAACTTAGTTTAAATCACTCTATTGGGGAAACCTTATTGTTTACTATATATACCTAATGTGGTAACCCTAAACCCTAAACTCATTATGGTAACTTTTTTCCATAACAGCAACCCAGGAAGAGGCCTATGAAGCAGCGCCCGTAGAAGCAGAGCCGGACAGGGTGCATAGTGCCAAATGTCCAGCACTGTGGCCTTTTGACGTAGTACAATAGGGGTTATATACATATACAGCCATTATATAGGGATAATGGAAAATGGAAACTACTATTTTAAAATAGGGTAAATCTTGGACCATGTCGGCTTAGATCTTCATAGCCGGAGGGGAGATAGGCGTTGTTTGTTCACGGCGCAAGATCTGGAATCTGAGAAGTACCAGGAGCAGAAAAAGAAGGGAGGCAAGAAGAAAGGGAAGGCAAGCTTGTGGCTGTCTCTGGCATGCAAATGCAATCCGCAAGCGTCATTGGAGAGACGCATCGGTGCTTGATTTGTTTATCCAACCGGTTTATTGCATCTTCCATGGATGATGCTCTCGCCTCTGCTCAGCCAGTTCTTCACGTTTTCTGCGGCTGAAGCCTCATCAAGTAGTGGTTCAGCAGGGAGAGCATACATGAAAACACATTTTTGGGGTAACCCTCGTATTACCTCAGTGGTTTCCAGTTTATTTTCCATGTGATTCCCCATGATCTAAAGATATCGTGATGATGCAGGCCGAGACTCCCACCCCTGCTCCGGTCGCTGCTGCTCCTGCAGAAGTGCCTGCAGCAGTTGCTGGGCATCAATCTGGCAGAGTTACGCAAGTAGATCTGCTCTAAAAGGATGGCAGCTAGGGTGGTGCCGTGTGGAAAGCTGCGCATTTTGAAGTCCTGAGGCGTCAAAGACAGCATCCAAGGCTGCGGCGACGCAAAAGGAGCCTCCCACAGGGGGGAACAAGCTCTAGGGTTGGCGAGCTACAGCGACGGTCTTGCAATGAGCAATGCCGCCGAGAATCAAGAAGGGTGTGGCAGCACAAGTTCGCGCTGGTCATGATTAACATGGCCTGCCGAGCTAGAAACAACTGCGTTGCGTCCATAACAGCATGTGTTGGGCCGTTCGGGGCGTGCAGATCATGAAAGCAGACAAGCCATGTAGATGCCAAGTCTACGCGGACCTTTTTTGGTGATGGCATCCTTTGTAAAGGAGCCAAAGGTGGCCGAAAGAAAAGAAAAGACCGCAGATAAAGCGGATAAGAAGGACCCGAAGGCAAAGCCTGCCGTCGCTTCGAGCCTCGTCAAGTAAGGCTGTGTGCAAGCAGTAGGAAGACAGTGGGATTTGATTGCGGATGTCTCAGTCTTTGCTGCTAAGGAAGAATAAGTTCTCTGCTCTCATGGGGAGTGATGAGGAGGAAAGCGACGAGGACTAGAGTGGTTAGAGTTTTGAGCAACCTGGCAGGCGACATCACTGTGTTTGGTCAGGGTGTTACGTTGCAGTCATGGCAGATTCTCATGATTGCTGTTCTTCACAGGAAGAACACAATAGTCACTAGTGGAAATGGTGTCTACAAACTATGGGCCATCCAGGGCAAACGCAATCTGGATACCACACCAGGGTTTGCATTTCCAATGCGATAGCTTTTTCTTTTCAAGTGTCTCACAGTGCTCATTTCCTAGTGCTACAATTCCGGCTCCGTCGCGACAATTTGCACACTATACTAGAGAATTATTCTCGACTGTAGAAGGAGTGCGCGGGTTGCGGTCTGGGTGGCTTGGATAGAGGGCTGGACAAGTTCGCCCGTGTTGTTGGTTGAGAATGTGTGCTAACATCCTGGTAGGCGGATGGGATGCTGAGGTTCGTAAAACCCGTCATACAAGGGAGGGGAGCTGGAAGCTGCACGCAAAACGTTACAGCTGGCTAAGGCATCCCAGCCAACTTCCCCGTCGAGCAGGATGCGGCCAGTCGCTAGTGCTAATCTGGCAACGCGACAGGTCTTTAACCGCAGCGTCCACCAAAAGACTCGATAGCTTCGCGGCAAGGTCCGGAAAATGTCTTGGGGCCGCACGAGTGGTCATGGGTAGGTCTTGAGGTTGCGATGCTGAATTTTGTTGCCAATTGCATCGCACGTCTTGCGAACCCATCTGGATGCGCTCAGTTCTTGCCCAGCCATAATCATATGAGTGATGCAGCCGCGTGGTTCGAGAGCTGCTGGGCATCATGGCTGCTGCTTTGATTCCGAGGTGGTACAGTTGCCTGAACCATCTAGTGATGCAGCAGTAGTTTGAGAAAGTCTGTGTTCCTTGGGTGGTCTCCTTGTTTCCTGGTCTGCGTCACATGTCTCCCAGGTGTGCTGCGACAGTTTGAGGGGTAGAGCCATGAGGAAACCATGCCCCCCAGCAGCAAGTTTTCTGTGGCACACGGTGAGCTATCCAAAGTGATAGACACACAACGGACCCTGCGCTCAGGTTCTGGGCTCCATCCTAAGAGTGCTCCTGGCAGTTAAGTAGCCTTTAGTACGTGACAGAGCAGAGTGGCAAGTCAGACTAGGGATCCAAGGGATCCAAGCTCACCCAGTCTGAGCCGCATGATTGCCAGTATCTTGACAGCTGTTCTTCCTTGGCCGGGCCCAGGCCGTAGCTGCGGTTTGTGTGGCCTTGGCTTTTCTGTGCTGAACTTGGCGGTGTCGTGGAATACAGCATGATTGGCATTTTCTTTCTGACTGCGGCCCGGTTCAAAGGTCGGTGCTGATTTTCTGCCGTCCTGGAGTCTTTGGTCTGCTGAAGAGCTACAGGCATGTCGCACTAGCAGCCTTACAGCACGAAAGAGTCGCTGCCTGCTCGAACTGTAGATCTGCAACTGTGTGCTTCCAAGGTAGTAGCCCATCCGGATGACGAAGCCGCTTATCAACTTAGCATCCTCTGGCGCTTGCTATAATATCCCGTGCCCAAGGAAACATGTTTAATCATTGTTGCGCATGCTCGCGGTGATAAGGCTATGTTCTTCTGGCCAGTGCTCTCGCAGCTGCATGCTTCAGGTAGTCTGGCAGCCAGCTTGCGCTGAAACTGTTCCTTGCAATCCCCAAAGTAACCTGGTTTCGGGTTTGCCTAGGAAGGTGTGACTGGATCCAAGGTGTCAGCCTGAGCGTTCTGTGCCTGTCCACTGGAAATTTCGATGGCCTTGGTCATATTCGACAAGACGAGCTCTTGGATGAAACTAGTGTTGGGGTTTCCGTGGTGATGCGAAAAGCTGTCGCGGAATGTCGCGGATGGAATCTGCTACTGCAGCCCGAGGAAATGCTCAGGTCATGCGATCGAATAGGTGCCTTGGCTTCTGGGTTGAGAATGTGTTTGAACTGTTCACTGGGGCTGTGCCTTCAAAGTCCGGATGCGTCCTGCAGGTGTGCGTGGTGAAGCATTGGGAGTCCTAGACGTGGCCGAGTTGCAGGTGCTTTGCTCAACCTTGCCGATCAGATTGCCCAAAAGGGCTGCAAAGCCCTCGAGCACGTGTTAACCTGCCCAGTTCTGTGTTCTCAGGACGGATGGCAAGAATGGTCTGCCGACATCGTTGCTGCCAAGGCAGCAACACTAGAAAAGCAAAGGGTTCATTTGGAGTTTGTAGAGCCGGCAGGTTATCGATTTTCTAGCCAAGCGTGGCGCACACGCAGTGCTGACATTCGACAACAAGGGTGTATCAGGCTTGCACGCCGATTCCAGCACGTGATCAAATTCCAACATGCAATCGCCTCCCCAGGCCATCCAAACCATGTCTCTACCAGTGCAGGCGCCGCCTTCAAAGAACTTGAATCGAAGCTTGGGGCAAAGTTCAGTTGATGACCCTTTCAGGTGTTCAGCGGGCACTTGAGCTTTCGCGACGAGATTCTCAGCTTCCTCACTTCGATTTGTTTTTACTGAAGAGTGAGCCCTTACTGCATTTCAGTCGCTGCCTCTGGAATTCCCTAGGAAGTAGCCCATGACCACCAACATGTTTGAGTGTCAGGTACCCGAAAACCCTCTCTGTACCCCGAAAAACCCTGGGGCACGCTGTTGTGTAGCTTCTTGGCATACAGAGTTACTAAAACAGCCAATGCTACAAGATTCTAAAGGAGGACCCCGGTCATCTCCTTATTCCCCCCCAGCATCTCTTTGGGTCTCTTAGGGCACCTTATTTGAGAGATACCCATCTGCTTAATGCTGGAGGTTGGCATCCACGAGAAGTTCTTGGGCCCCCTCTCCTTGCTGCTTGGGTCTTCCCCTCAGTCCAAGTCCTGCACCTCAGGCCCTTGCAGTTGCATCTCTGTCTGGAGGCTGCTGATGTACCACAGATGTGCTAGACAACAAGTTCATACACAGACTATCACATGTCTGCATGATATGTAAGACCCACTCAGTGGCTGGTGTAGGGCGCAGATATCAGGATAAATCACTGGTTTGGCCCCTTTAAGCTGCATGGCTCCGCTCAGGCAGGAATCCTCCTCTGACGCTGTTTCTTGGAAGCACTTGGAAGTACCTCCTGATATTCAGCATCCCTCCCTGATGGGAGGCCAGATACTAGTGGTACGTATGTAGTACTGGGCAGGTGGTGGACATGGTCAGGGGCCGACCGCGGCATTTTTGACTGGGGCCTCATTCCTTGTAGGATGGCAATTGCAATTACTTTGTATCTTTTGTGTTTGCTGCTTACAGGACGAGCTTCTCACTACAGTTGCTACATTAACGTTGCCATGCGTGCGCTGATGATCTCTTTTGTGGTCATTTATTGGCAGCTGCCCTTGTGGTAGAAGTTCCTCTTTTCAAGCCCCAGCCCCTAAGTCTACGAGGCTGCCGTCTCCTGCAGCCCGTTAGCATGCCTCGCTGCCGCGCGCTCATGGGTGGCAAACCAATCTAACACAACTTCTTGTTAGGGTTGAGTCATCAGTAAGAAAGCGGGTCAGCGGTGGGGCGTGGCAGAGGCCTTGGCAGTCCACTGGTCGCAGCTTGTGTGGTACAGAGTCCTGTTCACGATCTTCTCGCGCTACGCGCCCAAGCCTCAGTTCCCTCAAATGATCTAGAGTCTAAACTCCTGGTATCCCCCTTGTGGGTTGGGGATGTGCATGACAAAAACCCGATTAAGGCTGCAATGGATTGGGATGCAGATGCAGAAAAGTTGCCCCCTACGCGCAGGGTAGTCCTCCATCCAATGGCCCAGGTATGCGAACACCTTCGTCAAGTTTGTTCCGCCAGAGAGATCCCAAGCTCAGGCCTGAACCACTGAGGTTTGTGTGTTGATACGGTTAGCTCCGTGCGAAGTTGTTTCTGGTCACAAGTTTTTCAGGATGTTGGGGAGCAGTGTGCAAAGGATGACTAAAGGAATGGTAGCCAGAGTTTCACTTCTCCATTTCTGGACAAAGCGCCAGCGAAGAACCCTTTCAGCAATGCGGTCCCGCGGCGCACTCCGCGCAGCTCATCAGCTTAGGTGGCCAAAGTGTCACCAAAGGGGACAGATTGTGCAACAAAGCGACTGCTTGCTGTCAGCTTGCAAACGTTTGTTTGCTTAGCGTTGTAGAATTGAGCCTCAAACAGCAGCATCATACCGGGTCTTGTGGGTAGTACACCGCAACCGTGATATGCTCCGCTTATGCTCGGTGCCAAGGATGGAGAGGCTCTGTTCTGGTGACAACCTCAGACTAGGAGGTTCTGCTCGGACATATGCCAGCCTAGCCTGTTTACACAGATTTGTATGTTAGGGTTCATGAAGGAATTGCAGCTTAGAAGCCAAGAGGATTTACGGTGCAGCAGGGTGCCTCCACCTAATGGAGAATCACGTGGAAAACGCGATGAATTCGGAAGACGCTATGATGCTATGATGGGCTATGTGCGGGTCGAGGTTTTGCCCTCGTAATAACAAAGCCCCAACCCCCCTTGTACAACAAGCATTCGCACCAGTATTTGTTGGGCGAATTTATGTGTTCAGTGGCGTTGGGGGTATTATCATTGGGTGGATTGCCCGTATGATGTTAGCTATTGGCCGAAATAACATTTTTACACTTCCCAAGCAGGATTAATTGTGTTTCGTCACTTCTTGGCAGATGTCATGCCTGCTTGATTTGCATGTTTCATGCGCTTTCTCCGTTCTTTTCCTCCTTTTGCCTTGCAATAGAAATGACAGTCACATCATCACTCGGGCTGATCTCACTGTGTTTTGGTACTTGTTTGGTGTCACAAAAGGAGAAGGAGCAGTACTTGTATTTATGCGAATTTTATGGTTGTGCGTTCAGAGGCTTAGCTGTTGGCAAAGCTCACCCTGCTTGTTTTGCAAAAGCCAGGTGTACCGAGAACCAACAACAGCCAGATCCTTGGGCGATGACATGCTGCTGAAGGTCTTGTTGCTGATTCTTCTGCCTGTATACGGGCGGAGGCCATCCAGATCAACAGCACCAAAGGCGACCGGAGAAGTACAAATTCCTCTCCATGCGCATGTAAAGTCAGGTAATCAATTGCGCGCTACCTGTGGTGGAATGATGAGACTAAGGGTTGCAAAATCAGAGCATGCAGGGCGCATGCTATTCCAAAAGCCGCTATCCCATGCTATCCCTTGTGGGGGTGGGCCAGAGCAGATTCTGAGCTGCATGGTGCCATACATTTGCAGGCATCCGTCTCAAGACGCCTGGGCTCTCGGAGGAGGCTGGCACACTGGCAGACCGCCAAGCTTCTTCCGCACCTGGTGTTGGAAGTTGAGGAGTTGCCAGAACCTCCACTGGACTCACCCAAACTGCTCCCAGGTGCGTCAGGAACATTTGCATATCGGTCTTGCTTACGCTTGTGCATGCCTGGCGCGCAGGAAAGCCAGCCCCGCAGATCAGCATCAACTTGGGCAGTGCAAAGCCTGAAGGATCTGAAGGTGCAGCAGCAGAGGCTGCACCTGATGAGCCTGCCATGCCAATGCCCAAACAACCGCCGACGCAGCAACGAGAATATCTGGAACTGACTCGTTGCAAGGTCACCAGAGGCAGGAATGCCTGCGACGGAGGGGAGTCCAGCGAGGCTCGTGCCAATTGCGTTGGTTTCGAGCCAAATGTTTGGGACATGACACCAGGAAAGCGGTCTCTCCGGCTAGTCCGGAAGATCAAGAAGCTGTCCTAGCAGCCCTGGAGTCCCTTGTAGCTACGACCACAGCCACGGAAGAGCGGACAGCAAGGAGGCTTGGCAGCATTTTGAGCTGCACATGCCCTCCTCTTCAATTCCCCATGAGCTTTGGACAGACATCCTTCCAGCGGCTTCAAAAACTCTCTGTACTAGAGGTAGTTCCAGGTGAGCCGCGCAAGGGCGCGGAAGCTACAGTTGCATCCGCGGAAGCTGTCATGCAAACGTAGCTTTGGCGGCATACTCGCGGAAGGGTTGCGGAAGGGCTGTTGTCTGATGGCATTTCTTCTTTGGAGATATATCTTCAACGTTGTCCTGCAGAGCTAATCGCGGAAGGCTCGCGGAAGTTCATAACGTCCGTCCGGGCTTAAACAAATGCGCGGAAGCGACACTTGCTTCCGCGGAAGCTTTTGTGGAAGGGTTCGTGGGAGCGTTTGTTCCCGCCTGGAAACTGCACAAGGGCTTTCGAAGCCACTCATTTGGGCTTCTCCAAATCACAGGAGGGATCTCGATTTGGAAGCGACTAAGCCTATAGTCCAGAATATGGGCTATATGATATGGGGATCTTATCATAATTTACCCGAATCCATATTCTAAGTACTTAAGGGGACTATATTCTCAGGCCAGATGAAGCCCCCAAAGTGGCGCCAGCGAAGCCTTCGAAGCGATCCTCTTCCTCCTCGTCTTCTTCCAAGCGGAAGCGGAGCTTTGCTTTAACAGGGTAGCGGCCTTGTGAGTAGCAGTAGGAGGAGTAGAAGTAGCATTGATGCCAGAAGTAGTGATGGCAAGCATTGCGAACGACTGCAAGGTTAGGCTTTCCAAGTTTCTAGCACACAGGCTCTACTTGTGGGTTTGGCAGGCTAGCACCTCCCGGAATTTCATAGACCCGCATGGGGAGATCTCTTAAGGAAGTCTTCCAGTGCCAAAAAGAAGAAGTCGTCATCCTCGTCCTCTTCGAGCAGGCGGAGAAGGTGCGCGTGTGCAGTCTTGGAGGAGGTTTGGCACCTTTTGGAGGATCCAAAAAATCAATAAACAAGAATTTGTAGAACTAGCGGGGTTACAGGGCAGATGGCAGAGCTCATTTTTGCAACGTCTCCTGCAAGGTTCTAAGTTTAGTATACGGTTCAGGCTCCGTGAACCCATGCCGTGAGTTGCTTTGCGCTGCAGGAAGGCAAAGAGCCAGCAACTCAGAGATGAGCATGATGGTACTGTACCTCACCTGTTGCAAGAAGGACATGTAAGTCTAGAAAGGGTGGAGGGAACTGCACCCGAGGCAAGTCCAAAAAACGGCGCTCTTCATCCACTTCAGCATCACGGGAGAAAGCGAAAAGGCTTGTTCATTGCGCCCATGGTCTTGTACACAGGTTGCCATTGGGTGCACCAGGAAGTCCAAAAAGTCATCCTCATCTTCGTGAGCAAGCGTGAGTTCTTCGAATCTGGTAATAACTGACTATATTATGCCATGCTTAGTACCTCCACAGATACAGCTTGACTACGCTTTTGTGCTTACCTTCGAGTCCTTCAAAGGAGGCTTGGCTGTTTCCGTAGCTGCGGTCCTTCAATGTGCTGCTCCAGTACAGCTGGCATGGGCGGTTCATTGTGCAGGCCCCCAAGCCACACAGGACCCCCACACAGTGGGCCATAGACCTCTTGGCTCAGAAAGAAAAGAACGTACGATGGCGTATCTTGGTCCGACACTTTATCCCGGCGAGAAATGTGGGTGCCATAAGATGATGTGTTTCAGAGCCATGTATATACATGCATATACATACACACACATGTACACAGGTGTGTATATATATATATATACGCATGCATATCTCAAAGAATATGCGTCTTCAGGTACAAGCCCTCAAACATGTTTGAGCGGGATAATGGGGTCGGTCCACGCCGCTATGTCATGACAACTGATGCGACTGAGTTAGAGATTTGGAGCGGAGGTGGCCAACATTGTTGTAGCTGGGTGGTGCACAAATTGATGTCGTCAGGCAATGCATCCAGCTGGCGGTTTTTCTGACCTGAGCCCTATGCCACATGTTTGCAGGACAGGCCCCTTCCCATCTTCAAATGAGTGAGGCTATTTTCATGATGCTGTGCGAAGGTCCTTCGCCTCAGCATGATCTGTTGCGAATTGCAGAGACGCTGGGCACGTGAAAAGAAAAGCTACTCGAGAATTACATGCCACATCATGCCATGCTAGGTGTTTATCCTTTTGCGAGCTGCGGGCCTAGCAAGCAATGTGGTAGCCTTACTCTCCTCCTGCTCTTTGTGCTCCTCCCCGTCCTGATCCTCCTCCCGTTTGTGTTCCTCTTCCCCCTACTGCTGCTCTTCACGTCCTCAACAACTACTAACTGAACTACCCGCTCGTTAGGCATACTATGTCCGTGCATGAGTGATGGGTTGCTGCCACTCCAGATGGGCCACTAAGCTCAAAAACTGCGCTGGGGCTTTTGCTGCATGATTGCCGCTGCTTCCTCCGAGTTCAAGGGACCTGGAACCCGGTGAAGCGAGGCTGGCATGGCATACCTCCACAGTCACGGAAAGCAAGGTCTTAACTTAGGTTGGGCCCCCACCCACAAAGAGGGCACGGTAATTATATTAGGGTCCTTATATATTCCTAGTATACCACTATTAGTGGGTGGGGGCCCAACCCAAGTCTTAACACTGTACACATTCTCAAAGTCCAGAGGTGGCGTACTTCAATGCCAATTGAGATACCTTTCAGCCAACTTCCTGGACTAGGCAGGTGCTGGGACATGTTGGGGCTCCCCGGATTTTCCAGGATCCCAATATAACCCCTATATATAACATAACCCCTTTATATACCCCTATATCTACCCTTATTTTAAGGCTATATATACCCCTATACCTACCCCTTATTTTAAGGCTATATATACCCCTATA